CGGCGGATCTCGGCCCGGGAAGCCCTCCGGGAGCCGCCCTGCTCCCGCCGCCCTTTCTCGGGAGCGCAAGGCTGGCCAGTTCCTATGGTGACCGCTTGGCGTCCTGCCGCCCTGCGCTGGGTTGCGGGGGGCTGTTGGGCTTAGAGACGCTGCGGACGGAGCTGAGCCTTTGGAAGTCAGATCCGGGAGCCCAGCCCGGCTCCCGGCTCCCAGCCTCTCACTTCTGAGCTCTTGACAGACTTCGGGGGGCGAAGGACTGAGAGGAAGGGCGTCATCATGAAAACCTCATGTAATTTCAGTGCCCGGGAAAGGCAGGGTGAGCGGGCTTTTGTCTGAAACTAGTGGAGGCAGTTGAGAACCGAGGCAGTCATGGGCCTGATACCCAGATACGCACAGGAATACTTCTTTCCCTTTAAACAAAGTCAAGGATCGCGGCATCAGGAAAAGTTTGCAAAGATGACGGTGTCCGAGTTTTCCTTCTTCCCCTCCATGCCCTCATACCTCCCGGTATTCGGTGTTTAAATGCCCTCTACTGGCATCTCAACTACGCCTTTTGTGGTTGTAAGGAAATAAATAACAGTCGGTCTTTAAGTAGAGGAAATAGGTTAGTTATAAAGGTAAAAGGAGCGTGTCACATCATTCAAACCTGCCTCCAGGATAAAACCTTTTTTTTGGTTTTTATTTTAATCAACTAAATCAATCTTTTTAAAATCCTCACCCAATTTTAAAATCCTAACCCAATCCTCACGAGGATATGTTTTTATTGATTTCTAGGGAGACAAGGGAAACATGGATGTGAGGAAGAAACATCAATCGGTTGCCTCCCTAGGCTGGGATCTAACAGGCACCCTAGGTTTGTGCCCTGATTACGAGTGGAACCCACAAAGGTAGATCGCTTCAACCAGCGAGCCACCTGCCCAGGGCTAAATCAGTCTTAGTTAGTGGGAAATAATTAGGAAGGTACATTAATGAAATATTAATTTGAAATGATAAATTCTGGCATTATTTAATGGCAGCTTCCCAAATATATCTGATTTTAAATGTTTCTTTTCTGAAAAAAAAGAAAGAAAGAAACCACTGCTTTAGCCCAGCATCTAATCAGTTGTAGAGCTTTCCGGCTGTCTTTCTGTCCTCTTCTCCAGTTGCTTGGTCCAGTTTGTTGTAGGATAATTTGCTCTTAAAGTCCTCCCGGCACAGAGGCAGTTAGAACAGGTGTTACTATATTTATTCCCTTTCCCATCACACGCCCTTCTCCCCTGATGTAGCCACTATGCTAGCCACTTCCTTGCTTTTCCTCCATCTTTGTATGTGAATATGCATGTTCTAATTTGGCTTGCTTTTGAACTTATGCAAATGAAATTTTACTAAGTATTTCTTTGCATTTTGCTTCTTAAAACAGTTTGTTGTTCAGTGTTCTGATGTAAGAGTATCACAACTGATCTACTCCTCTCTTGGTGGACATTAAAGATTTTACAGTTTTGGTGAATATGAAGAATGTTATTGTGAAGCTTCTTATACATGTCCCCCATGGTAATCTTTTATTTCCCCATGGTAATCTTTTATTTCCCTATGGTAATCTTTTGAAGTGAGCTAGTTAGTAAGGCAGTCCCATATCTTAGTTATGGTATGACATCAGTTTAAATATTATTAAATTCTGTAAGTTCATAAAAACCTCTTGAAAACAGCTATTTAACCCCTTATGTACCCAAGAGGTCTTCATAAGTGATTCCTCTCTTAAGACCTTTATTTATGAACTTTTGAAACACAAGTTATTTCTTTACAGTATAATCTGAATGGAAGAGAAGTGAGAACTTTGGGTTTGAATGAAATGACTAGGAGAGGTTATTTCTTTTTCATAAGAAAGGTTGACTGTTGTGGCTACTATTTTGTTTGAAGTGAATTCCCAAAACGTTTACTCACAGATTTTTATCATAAATACAAATACCTGTCTCAAAATTGTTCATAAAACTTTGTGTGCTTCTCTGTATCTCTCTGTTAGTGAGGCTATTCCTTCCTACTTCAAGGTGTCTATCAGTTTAAACACTTGGGGACAGTTTTATAAAAAGAAAACAAGTTAACCTTTTGTGGAACTAGCATTCAGAATCTCACATAAAATACTCCAGTGTTCTATCAAAATATTCAGTAGACATTTATTGGGCACATATTATATACATGATATTTTGCTCAACACTGGTAATACCTTTTAGCAAATGATCTTACCTCCTTTTTTACTGAAAAATTAAAAATTCTACCAGGCAGGAACTTCTGCAGATATCTGTCCCTTGAAAAAATGGCCCTGGCTCGTGTGGCTCAATTGGTTGGGTTTCATCCCATGCACCGAAAGGCTACCAGTTCAATTCCTAGTCAGGGCACATTCCTAGGGTGCAGGCTCGATTACCCAGTGGGATGTGTGAAGGAGGCAGGCAGTTGATGTTTTCCTCTCACATCAATGTTTCTCTCTCTCCCTTTCTCTTCCTCTCTCTCTCCCTCTCCATTCCTCTCTCTTTCTAAAAATCAATAAAAAAATTTTTTTTAAACATATTTCTACTCCTTATCTTAATCTTCACTTGAACTTGCTTTTCTCGTTCTTGTCTCAGAGGACGGTGCACAACCTATATCTGGGTTTCTTGTTAGCCCAGTGGCCTTGCTCCATTAGTTAGCATTAACCCCTGTCTTAGAATCTTTATTGTGTTTACAAAACTGTAGGGCTTCTTAACCTGGAGTACGAGAACTTAGAGGGCTCTTGAATCCCCTGAAACTATGAAGTTGTGTATGTGTTTGCATTTAGGAGAGACCCCAGGGCTTTCGTTTAATTCTGGAAGCTTTCCTTGATGTAAGAGAATTAAGAAACATGATTTTCTACTTTGTAATGACCCTTCAACAACCTTGGTTTTTTCTAACTTTCACTCTACCTCTCTTCTCACAATCATGCTTCCTTTTCCTTAGTACTAACTCATTTATTAGTCCTCATCAAACTTGCTTCCACCCCATCCCTACCATTAAAACTTCTTTGTTCCAGTCATCAACATTGATTATATTGAAAACTAGAGGCCCGATGCACAAAAATTTGTGCACTGGGGGGGGGGTGTCCCTCAGCCCGGCCTGTGCCCTCTCGCAGTCTGGGACCCCTC